TAATAAAATTATAGGCTCGGGGGACCCAATCTCAAATTCGATATCATTTTCATAAAAAGCATCCCCCAAAACCTAATAGTCGACCCTGATATCAATTTAATCCAAAAAGATAAAAAAAGTCTAGGCCCGGGGGGCCCATTCTCAAATTCGATATCATTTTCATAAAAAGCGCTCCTAAAATATAATAGTTGACCCTGATATCGATTTAATCCAAAAAGTTAATAAAATTATAGGCTCGGGGGACCCAATCTCAAATTCGATATCATTTTCATAAAAAGCATCCCCCAAAACCTAATAGTCGACCCTGATATCAATTTAATCCAAAAAGATAAAAAAAGTCTAGGCCCGGGGGGCACAATCTCAAATTCGATATCATTTTCATGAAAAGCGTCCCCCAAAACCTAATAGTCGACCCTGATATCAATTTAATCCAAAAAGATAAAAAAAGTCTAGGCCCGGGGGCCCATTCTCAAATTCGATATCATTTTCATAAAAAGCGCTCCTAAAATATAATAGTTGACCCTGATATCGATTTAATCCAAAAAGTTAATAAAATTATAGGCTCGGGGGACCCAATCTCAAATTCGATATCATTTTCATAAAAAGCATCCCCCAAAACCTAATAGTCGACCCTGATATCAATTTAATCCAAAAAGATAAAAAAAGTCTAGGCCCGGGGGGCCCATTCTCAAATTCGATATCATTTTCATAAAAAGCGCTCCTAAAATATAATAGTTGACCCTGATATCGATTTAATCCAAAAAGTTAATAAAATTATAGGCTCGGGGGACCCAATCTCAAATTCGATATCATTTTCATAAAAAGCATCCCCCAAAACCTAATAGTCGACCCTGATATCAATTTAATCCAAAAAGATAAAAAAAGTCGAGGCCCGGGGGGCCCATTCTCAAATTCGATATCATTTTCATAAAAAGCGCTCCTAAAACATAATAGTCGACCCTGATATCAATTTAATCCAAAAAGATAAAAAAAGTCTAGGCCCGGGGGACCCAATCTCAAATTCGATATCATTTTCATAAAAAGCGTCCCCCAAAACCTAATAGTCGACCCTGATATCAATTTAATCCAAAAAGATAAAAAAAAGTCGAGGCCCGGGGGGCCCAATCTCAAATTCGATATCATTTTCATAAAAAGCGCCCCTAAAACATAATAGTCGACCCTGATATCGATTTAATCCAAAAAAGTCGAGGCCCGGGGGGCCCAATCTCAAATTCGATATCATTTTCATAAAAAGCGCTCCCCAAAACATAATATTCGACCCTGATATCGAATTAATCCAAAAAGCTATAAAAAGTCGAGACTTGTGGGACCCAATCTCAAATTCGATATCATTTTCATAAAAAGCACCCCCAAAACCTAATAGTCGACCCTGATATCGATTTAATTCAAAAAGTTAAAAAAAGTCGGGGCCCGGGGGGCCCAATCTCAAATTCGATATCATTTTCATAAAAAGCGCTCCCCAAAACATAATAGTCGACCCTGATATCGATTTAATCCAAAAAGATAAAAAAAGTCGAGGCCCGGGGGCCCAATCTCAAATTCGATATTATTTTAATAAAAAGCGCTCCCCAAAACCTAATAGTCGACCCTGATATCGATTTAATCCAAAAAGATAAAAAAAGTCGAGGCCCGGGGGCCCAATCTCAAATTCGATATCATTTTCATAAAAAGCACCCCCCAAAACCTAATAGTCGAACCTGATATTGATTTAATTCCAAAAAGATAAAAAAAGTCGAGGCCCGGGGGGCCAATCTCAAATTCGATATCATTTTCATAAAAAACGCCCCCCAAAACCTAATAGTCGACCCTGATATCGATTTAATTCAAAAAGTTAAAAAAAGTCGGGGCCGGGGGGCCCAATCTCAAATTCGATATCATTTTCATAAAAAGCGCCCCCAAAACATAATAGTCGACCCTGATATCGATTTAATCGGAAAAGTTATGGAAAATTCGATGCCCGGGGGCACTATCTAAAATGCGACAGTATATTTTTATGAAAAAGGCCCCCAAAACATGATGGTTAGTCTAATATCGATTAATGGGGGCTCGGGGTTGGTCAGGTCGAATATGGCCGCTATTATTGAAGGAAATAAAAGAAAACATTTTTACTCTTTATAATAATGACGGAGTAGTTGAAAAATAAAAAGTACTCTTTGTAGGAATTCGGCTGAGTACTTTCTGTAATTCGATATAACAGCGAGAGTATTTTCTGTACTTAACTAAATCATGATTGACGCTGCGTGAGTTCCCTCAGTACTCGCCGCTGCCAGGCTGAGTACAGAAACTACTCGATACTTTTTCCTAATAAAATTACTCAAATCATGAAAGTAATCGAGTACTGCCCATCTCTAATGGAGAAAGTACTTCAAGGAGCTGCTGGAAGGGAGAAACGTTAGTCTGGATGAGATCCACAATGCGGAGACGGAGTATTCAGAAGAAGATGATTTTATCAGCGAGGAAGAACTGCAGGAAGCTATCTCTAAGATGAAGCTGGGCAAGTCTGCAGCGAAGAATTGCTGTCGTTGAAGTTGCAAAAACTGAGTGAATTGAGTAGCGTCCATTGTTCCACGTTGACAATAAAATTTAGATTAAAGTATAAGGTTTCTCTGTCTTCATCCTCGTCGCCACTTTGTTACATCTGGATTGGTGGATAATCAGTAAAACACAGCTTACTTATACACTTATTGAGAGAAACAATAGACTGTTACACTTTAGCATCGTGACTATAATAACTGAACAAACTAGAAAGGTAACACAAAGATAAGGATTACTAAATAATCAAGACACAACACCAGGTGATGGCTCTAGGTCCACGAAAAATAAAGGTAGTGGGACTTTATTTTTTACCCCTGGTTGCACCTTATTCTCCTTCAAAACGTTGGTTACCTGACGTACTTTGAAACCAAGCGTCGTTAGTTCTTCTTTTATCACATTAGTTGGGGTTGAGGAGTGAAAATTTCTTATCACCACTCGTCTTGTCTCTCCTGCCGCAGCTGGTATGTATGAAAATTTGCATCGTTTCTGAGAGGTACTTCCCTATTTTTCGATAGGTTTTAGCCGTATCTGGTGATATTTTTGTATCCTTGGTCCTGTTGAGGAAAGAATAACTGCCAGAGCAGATTTTGTGTACACAATTACTGGAAATTTTGTATATTTTTTACAAATATCGGAGGAGGACATGGTTCCCGGAGTATTCCTGCAGATCCCATTACTCCTCTGTCATTCTGAAGCACTTGGACGAGTTTGTAGTAATGAAAGGGGATTATTAAACCATTTCTTGTGAAGACGTACCTGGTTTAGGCTAAGGTTCTGGATCTGAAGTGTTCACCGTGGTCATTTGAGGTGTTTCTCGTTTCATAAGCTGCGACCAGTTCTTTCTTTGGCTGGTGAACCAGGAGGATTAGAGCCGTCTGACCGATTCTTCATATTGGACATCACTTGGTGATAATACCGCTTATCACAACAGAAAAAAAATTATAAAAAAACATATCGAACAGCAGTTATAAACTGCTCTGATGTACACGTGTATTCTGTGAATAATCAGAGATCTGTATCCACTGAACAATAGGAAAAAACTAAGAGACGAGTTGAGAACACAACCTTCGCATCAGCCAATTTAAACACTATTTTTTTTTTATTTTGAATAATACACCATGTTCATATTCCACTGATATGAATTTACACAATAAAGATCAGCAAAACGATTCTTAAACAACTGATCTTACCTATGCTTTTAAAGTCGACGTGGCAATGTCATACAGTTCTAACTTCTTAAATATATTCACTAAATTAAAAGAATTTTTGAATATAATTATATAGTATCATTTAAAAGAAAATATTTAGTGTGATTTAGTTTCTTAAAAATCAATTAATTAGCTGCAATAGAAGAAGAAATGGAGGTTATATTTCTTTATTTTGGAGTTCTAGCAATGGCCAGATTCTCCACTCAAGTCATGAGTGTCTGTGGCTGTAGCGCTCTTACTCATCCTCCGCTGGTTTAAAATACCAGTGAAGTGGCTGAGGGAGAAGCGTAGGGATCTCCTAAGCCTCCCTTTTCCCTCCACATGTGGAGGGGACAGGATTGGTTCGGAGATCACCTGGCAAATTGTAAATAATGTATATAGGTATGTTTTATATAAGGTGTTTGTTTTACTTTTATTTCTATTTTTATTTACTTATGTGTATATATATTTTTTTTTCTTTACTCTTTTGTTCTTTTTTCTTATTCTTTTGTTATTACTTTATTTATTTATATTTTTGTATGAATGCAATCTCTGAACTCTATTATAAGTGTCCTTAAACTGTGACAAATTGTAATATTTCTGAATAAAGTGTTTTAATAATAATAACATTTCTTTAAATTGGGTTTTGGCCTTAGTTTAGCTTTATCAGGCTAAAGTAACAATCACTATTATCAACTAATTATATAAAAATGTATTTCAATGGTTGATAAAATAAATAAACCATAGCACATATAACATAAATCTAATATACCATATTAGTGTGGGTGGGTTCCTCGTATTATAAATTAATTCTCTTTATATATTTCTAAGTTTATAATTAATCATAGATAATGGTTCTGTAGTAAATTATTAATCAGCAGAATTTTTAATCGTGTCTAAAAATAAATGATTCTCCTAAAAAGCATAAATATCTTTAGAGACCACATACAAATTTTCAATGTTTATCAGAGTCTGATTATTTTATAGTTTCTAATTAATTCAATGTTTCAATTAATAATTTGTGAATATAAATGTGATTTTAAGTCATCCTTATTTATTGTAATTTATTTTACTCCTTTTTATTATTATTATAACATTAGAAGGAAAATATGAAAATATAGTTGTGTTATTCAAGTTAGATGATGATTTAGTTCAAATATAATTCATTCTCTTGTTTTCCTGGTATAAGTGTTTTTTTTTTTTAAATATTTTATTATATATTACTGAATGGTTAATATATTTATCTATTTTTTTCAGATAGAAAATTTAGAAGACCTCCTTAAAGAAAAAGATAACCAAGTAGATATGGCGAGGGCAAGATTATCTGCGCTTCAGGCTCACCATTGTACAAGTGAAGGTGCATTATCCAGTTTAGAAGAAGCTATTGGTGATAAAGAGAGACAAATGAATCAGTTGCGAGAACAAAGAGATAGAGCTGAACAAGAAAGACAAGAAGAACGAGAACTTCATGAAAGAGATATTGCTGAATATAAATTGAAACTACATGCATTAGAAAGTGAAGTGGAAAAACTTGGAGCGAGAATGGATAGAGCCCAGTTAGAAAAAGACAGATTGGAGGCCAAACTTGAAAGTTCTCAACTAGAACTTGGAAAATCAAAAGCAGAGTTGGATAAAGCAGCAAGTGAAGTTGGTAGAAGTGGTGCAGATTGGGAAGCAGCAAAACAGCGTTTAACAAGACTTGAGTTAGAAAATGAAAGGTTAAGACATGAACTAGAAAGATCTCAAACAACTTTTGGAAGAAGTACATTAAGCACTTCACAAGAACTGGATCGTGTTCAGGAAAAAGCTGATAAGGCAGCAGCTGAACTAAGAAGAGCTCAAGCTGAATTGCGGGTTACACAAGCTGATAATGAGAGAGCAAGAGCTGAGGCAACTGCTCTTCAAGAAAAAGTAGAAAAACTTCAAGGTGAAGTATATAGATTAAAAGCCAAATTAGAAAATGCACAAGGAGAGCAAGAAAGTGTCAGAGAAGAATATGAAAGAGCACAAGCAACAATTACAAGAATGCACGCAGAAAGGGATAAAGCAGTATTGGATCTTGAAAAGTCACGAGAAGAATTGGAAAGAACTCAAGCAACTTTAGGTAAAGCACAGTTACAGCAAGAGAAATTGCAAAATTCTTTGGATAAAGCACAAAGTGAGGTTGACAAACTACAAGAAAGGCTAGACAAAGCTACAGGAGAAATTAGAAGGGTATGTTAATAATCAATTCATTTTTTATTTGAAAGTTAGCATTATACTATGTATACAGGACAATCTTGGTAATTCGAACACATAAATAGCAAGGCCTGTTCGGATTATGAAAGGTTAAATTTAAATTGATGGACAAATTGCACAACGTAACAAAAATATATCTATTATTAGTTAAATATAAACACATTGCAAACCAACCAATTATTTATGAAAATAATCATGTAGTGTACTTTAAGCTCTGGTTTTGTTGCCGAAGAGAATGCCTGATCTCATGAATTTGTTAAAAGTATTAGGCTTTGGTTGTCAACGTTGAATCCATTCACCCACCCCAACCAAGTATTAATTGGCGTTTCTATAAGTAATCTATAACGAAAAATAAAATGGGATAAAGACATTTTTTAGTACAATAAAAATCAATATAAAAAACGTTTTCCATACCTATGTACTTTTGAAATTATCATGCCAATCTTTACTTGCTTTAAAACCTGCTTTGTCATTCTTCCTAAAAAAATTATTGTAGAAAAACTTTGCCTTTTCAGCTAAGACATTCTCGAAAATCGGACAGAGAGATTCCTCAAATTCTAGATGACCATCTAGTTTTAATGTTTTCTGCTTAGACACACCACAATAAAATTTCAACATTATTGCACAAAGCAATTCCAGTAGTGTGTAGTGAGAAACAGAGAGGGATCACTGTTCAGCCCCTGCCTCACTCGAGCCATTTCCTGCTGACATTCCCATATCTTGTCAGTCAACTTTAATTTTTTTTTCTTTTTTGTTCGAATTAGTAGGGGTTTCAGATTACTAGGGGTTCGGGTTATCAAGACCATCTTGTACAGACAAGATTAATTTTTCATCTTTGTCTCACTGACAACAATTATAATTATTTTATAATACTTAAAGAGTATCAAAACAATGAAATTATATGTTATAAATTTCAATATCGCTTCATCACTTTTATAAATTAGGATTTTAATTGTTTCTAATCTCCTCCAAAGCATTTATATGTTTTAATAACCTAATCATGGTTTTTGTTAGTCGATGATATCTTGTCCTAAATTCATATTTCTATTTTTCATCGTACTTTTTATGTGACTTATTTAGTTAATTTTTTCATAAACACTTAATGAGTACCCATGTTCAAAATAAGAATTTAAAGATAAAAATTTCACTCTGTATTAGAAAAGATATTCAGAAAATCTTACTCCCAATATTAGAAAATCTCATTAATATTTCTTTTCATAATTACTATTTTAGATATCTTAATTTTGCTGAAATTAAGCAATGGAATTTTTTTTTAGCAAGATAATCTGCACTTGTTCAGCATAAATTATTTTATTTTAGATATTGGGCAGGCAAAACAGTCCTTCTGATCATTTTATTTATGTTTCTTCTATAATTTCTGAATTTGAAAAAGATTTATTCCTGTTGGTGAATTGTGAATCAGATTCCACATAGATGGAAATATCATGAATCATAAAATAACTTTATTATTTCATAAAAGGATTGTGAGCTTTAACTATTACATATTTTAAACATTATTGAGTAAACTTCAAGTAGTAAATTCCATTGTTTTCAACTACTTTCATCCATTTTTCTAGTTTTGGGGCTTAATTATTGGCTTGGTTAATAATCAAAGATCTGACCTTTTAAAAATTGAGCCATTGGTCTAAACAAACCATAATCTGATGATGCTATATTTCGGCTATTAATCTGGGAGTCCGTGGCAAAAAAAGTGTCATATTTCATGCTAAGCTTTGGTCTTATAAATTGATCATATTCACAGGCCTGACAAGAAAAATGCACGTCTGCCAGCATATAGCCACTGGAATATAAAATGGCGGCCACGTGAAGATAGATAGAGACCCTACATTGGTTGTAAGCGTATATAGAGAGAGGGCTTATTGATATATAAAGCTACCTACTCTTTCAATTTATAGTATTTACCGATTCAAGACATGGAATAATAGTCAGTTACTCCATACCCGTGGATTTCAAGTCGAAAAATTTAATTTACGATTCAAAAAGTTTACTTTTTACGGTTTTTCGCTTTTATCAGTGAAACTATGCATTCTATCTATAATAATTCGATATTACACAGCTCTTAATCTGTATATAAGACAACATACATGGGCTTACATAATATACATATATATAGTGTCTTATATACACACTAAGAGCTATGTAGTAACGATATTACATTTATAATACGTAATAATGAATAATATAATAAGTACCAATATAAATTATAATAATACGTAATAACGAAAATTGCGTAAGTTATTCTGTGTAGTTTCGGAGTTCATTAAATCATCAAATTAAATAAATAATCAAATTAAATATTAAATCATTCAATTATAATTGCTCTAGCCTTTGAATATTTGAAAATAAGATAGTAAAGTGATATATATTTTTAAAGAAAATTTAATACTAAACAACTTTTTTCCTCATGACTTTTATGTAAAATAAAAATATAAAGAGTTGGAGAGTCAAGTAATGATAAAAATGCAATGCATTTTTTTTTTTAATTTAATGAATTACGAGGATGGATGTCACGAAAACTATAGGATATAGCGAAAAACAAATATAACCATTTCTATTGTAAATTATGTCAGCTTTAATTAGACGTATGACATTATTATAGATAGAACCCATAGTTTCACTGATATTAGCGAAAAAAGTAAACTTTTTGAACCGTAAATTCAATTTTTCGACTTGAAATTCACGGGTATGGGGTAACTGACTATTATTCCATGTCTTAATTCTGTAAATACTATAAATTGAAAGGATTGGTAGCTTTATATATATCTATAAGCCCTCTATATATATATACGCTTACAACCGATGTAGGTTCTCTATTTATCGTCCCATGGTCGCCATTTTGAATTCCAGCGACAATATGCTGGAAGGAATTGATTCAAAGGACGGATCAAATAGAACTAGAGGAGGAAAATATACTATGGCATAGGAGGTGAGAAGCATTAATGAAAATGTCTACAATAAATAACAAAACCTATGGATCAGCATTTATCAGCATACAGCACTTCTTGAGGAAAGCGCTCCACTGCTTGGACCCGAGATTGTTTGAGGCTTTCCAAGTTAGGGTGTGCTCTGTGGCATGCCATTCTCTCCAGTTCGGACCAAAGTCGATAATCTAATGGGTTGAGACCAGGGCTGCCTGAAGGCCAATCCGAGGCAGAGATGAACGCGGGAATGTTCTTTTGCAGCCACTACTGAGTTGACCTAGCATTGTGAGTTGGAGCGGAATCCTGCTGGAAAACCCAATGACTTTCAGCAAACAGAGTATCATATAGCTGGTTAAAAAGTATGTTGGGCTAAACGAAATGTGGTTTTAGGACCAGTTGACGTCAGATTCTTTAAACGATCCCGAGGAGACTGAGGGAGAGCTGGAAGACTGAAGAAGAACTGTACATATTGATGTATTATGCCAATGATGTACTTTCTTTATTAACAAATGTTTTGTAAAACTGAAATTCGGGAGGGTTTTTCATCTACTTTAAAGCAAAACGGAGGCAGCTCCAAAATTCAAAGTTCACCACCTGAACTGATGTTGCTCAATAACCTCCTTGTCTGCTTTTCTCTCCCAATTGGTCCATGTCACGATATTACTGATTCCCTCTTGTCTCATTTTGTCCTTTACTTGGCATTTGGAGTTGGTTTTTATGCTTGGTAGTGAAAGTCCACAATTCACTGGCATATGTCAATATCGGAATGAATATATTTTTATATATCATTATTTTTATGCTATGGAGGCATTTCTTTTACTCAAGAAACCTTTCTTTAGGGATCCATGCTGATTTTATTCTTTCCATAATTTCCTCATCTATCCAGCTCAAATATGTCAAATGCCTATGTGAGGATAGTGTACGGTAGAGGCCTCAAATTCCTGATTCCTCATCCATTACTTAGCCTCCCCAAGAGTCCCATACAAAACAAACATGTAAAAATATAATGTTCATCTGAATCATTTCTTAATTTTAAACCATTGATCCAGATTTTTTAAAATATATCTTATGATTAAGTTTTTCTATTATTTCTAGTCATATTGACATTAAATAAAATATTAAGATTTCATTCCCTTATCATTATTAGCAACTGTGACATAAATGTAATATATACATTATGTTTTAAAATAACAGATCATTTCCGATTTTATTAAATCAAGAATTATTAACATCGCATTGTTTCGTTTCCTAATAGATGCAAATGGAAAAGGAAAAACAAAATTATGATTTCGACAATGTTCAGTCACAATTGGATAAAGCTTTGGGCCAGTCTACAAGACTACAAAAAGAAAAGGAAACAGTCCAGCTTGAAGCAGATAGGTTACGAGACAAATATGAAAAAGCACAGGTATAAAATCATTTTTTTTTTGTTATTATAATACTTTTAGGTAAATTTCTATTTGTGTAGCAGATTAGTTCTAATAGATTTTACTAAATCAATATTTCAATTAAGTATACATTAAACTGTTCATAATTATTTAATCATAGATTCAACCTCCGTTTGCCAATGTCTACAAAATGCACACAGAACCCCAATTGCAAATTACATTATGTATCAAACTTTTGATTTAATTGCCACATAAAGCAATGCATTTTCGTTCCAGTAGGTTATTTATTTACTTTCTTACTGGCAAAAATATAACATTTGAGGTATACAATCTTCATTATAATATACATTTGATGTTAGTATTTTTACAATTAATAAATAAAAGATGATAGTAAGAAGAAGGAAAGAGAAAAAAATTAAAAACCGAAAATATTAAAACGAAGTTAAATAAATAGATAAAATTAAAATTGAAAGTACGGGGAGGGAGAGGGAGTAATTGTAAGAACTTCAAATCTTTATGATGCATTCGACCGGTCCGCCGTCACAAATCGCTTAAGTTATACCCTGGGGAAGAATCTTACCTCTATCGATAGCAGGTTGAGCTCTCTCGCCGCTACAGCATGTAAAGTGTTCCTCAAAATCTCTGTTCTGCAAGCCGGCAACTGGAATGCTCCCTATAGCCTTTCAATATGTACCTCTATAAATCCTAACCTTTGTTCTTTAGGATCTCTAGATTCATTGTAAATGATCCCGCGGCCTTACCTTTGTTTTCGAGACCAAGCACACTGGGGCGAGTTAACGCTACTGTTGGACATTGGGAGAGTTACAAGAAAAACAAAAGTTACAATTTGGAAGTTTGACTGCATTAGTGACAAGCTAACATCGTTCCCCGTAATGCCCAGCAATTTTTAGCTTAATTGTCGTAATAATAATACTCTGGTATGAGATAATAGGAGAAGAAATGAAAACCATCTTTTTTTATATTTAATAAAAATAATCTTTTATTTATTCTGTGACGAATCCCATTAGAATAATTAACAAGGACATAACTGTGCTTTTGAGCCTCAGATATATATAAATGTATTTACAAAGTAACCAATAGATATAAAAGAGAAAAAAAATTATCTTCTAGATTAAATCGATTAAGAAGAAAAATAAATAAATGAATGAAAGAACAATGAAATGAAAATAATTGGAAATAAACTAATAATAATAATAAACTGCTGCATCGTTAATTTTCACGGACAATGAGCGACTGGAAGAATGGAAGTCAAAAACCCTGCATGGAAGATTTTTTCACCAACTCCAACAAACTGAAATAGATAAAACATTCTCTACCAGTTGGTTCACAGTTCTGCGCATGCGTTAACCTTACACATACCCTCTTTATTTCGTCTCTTATAAAGTGACTTTATTAACAGTGAAATAATTCATGTTATATGTGAAAAAGTAGTGTAAACTGTTAAGTTAACAATTAAGTTGAAACTGGACATAAACAAGGTGAGTAATCACTTATTTATAACGGCATTGTGAACAGTGTAAATAGACCTGAGGTTAGTGATAGATAACAAGCTGGCCATTTACATTCGTTAATCCGACCAGTGGGCTGCTCCCCTTCGGCGGAAGCAGATCTACGTTACCTAGACTTCTACAAACTCGCGTAATATATACGTAATTGATAAAGGACATTTTTTTTTCAAATTATTACATTTACCTCTAATTAAATTAATATGAGATGCGTTATTTTCACATGGTAATGTCGAGCAAAGGTAACAGGTGACATCGGGCTACTCGACGACCCTAGGGAGCATCGGTTGGAACAGTGCAAGATGCTGCAAGCACTCTCGCCGTCCACCCATAGCGCCGCCAGGGCTCCGGCGACGCCCCGTAGTACCAATTCGGTCGGAAGCACTGCTTCCCTGACCTCAGAGCACGATTGGTCTCAGGCTCCGCAATCTTTCGATCGCTACGGCTTTACATTGACTGCCGATGTACAGGAGGATGCCTGCACCTCCGCAGTCAATGAGGGACACGACTCAACCCTAAGGGTTCGAGACGATGACCGTCCCCTTGAGCAAAGGTAACAATCCAACTTTAAGATCTAGGAGTCTCGATACCTCAAAGAGTTCACCTATCAAGAAAAGAGCTATACGCTCTAAAAAAAATACCCCGCCAGCTACACCAGAGAGCTCAGTTGACGAAGTCGAAAATCAACCTGGCACATCATCTCAAAATATGTCAACACAAGTTATACCAATACAAGGTACGTTAGAAGAATCGCCTTTTTTTACAACTAATTCATTCCAAGTGCTGTCAAACACACAGAATGAACAAATGGAAGCAGTACCAATCCCTAGTGAACCTAAACCTCCACCAATATTCGTTAGAAATATAAAAAAATTCCAATTAATGTGTCTACAATTAAATAATATAGTGGGCTCAGGTAAATACTTATGCCAAAGCCGCAATAATGACACGAAACATCCCCAAATATCATATCTATCGAACCGACCATCCTGATGGAACAGCACATGCTGGCACTGCCATAATTATCCATCAATCCCTTTCCCATCATCTATTCCCTTTGCTAACCCATAATTTCCTACAATCCACTGCCGTGATAATCCAAACTTCCCTTTACCCAATAGCAGTAGTCGCAGCATACTCCCCGCCTAAAATACCCATCTCAGAATCCCAATTAACTTCCTTAACTCCTTAGGACACCACTTCCTTCTAGGTGCAGACTTAAATGCTAAACACCAGCAATGGGGAGCCAGAACCACAAATTTCCGAGGACGAACATTGCTATCTGCACTTAATTCCCATCACAGCAACATCCTCTCACCCAATTCTCCCACATACTAGCCAACAGATCCTAACCGCAATCCCGATCTCCTAGATTTTTTCATCCACAAAGGTCTAGGGTCCCTTAATTATTGCATCTCAAGACTTGATGATCTTTCCTCAGACCATAGTTCCCTAATCCTAACGGTCTCCACATCACCAATTCCCAAACCACCTCCACCTTCATTTATCAGGGAGCCAGTTAATTGGAACCTCTTCCGTCAAATACTGGATGATAATATTGACCTCAGAGTTTCCTTAAAAACACCTGCAGACCTAGATGAAGCAGTATATTCCATGACTACCTTGATCCAACAAGCAGTTTGGACTGCATCTTCACCTGATCCTTCTAAAAAATACCGCAAAATAAATCCTCTACCGCAAGACCTACTGGACCTTATTAATAGAAAACGATGCTCTAGGACCATCTGGCAAAGAACCAGGCATCCTGATGATCGGAAATCATATAACTATTATTCCAAGCAGGTAAAACAAAAACTGGCTACGTTTAGATTCCAATCCTATAATTCCTATCTTTCCTCACTATCTGCAAGTGATAACTCCCTCTGGAATGTAACTAAAAAAATCCTTAAATTCCAATCCATTTCCCCCACCCCACCGTGATGATGGTTCCTGGGCTTCGTCAGATGAGAATAGAGCAAAAGAGTTTGCTAAACATCTATCGTACACATTCACTCCTCATCCTGAACTCCATCCCTCCCATAATGTTGAAGTTAAAGAATTCCTCTCTTCACCGATTCCTCTCTCCTTACATCCTACAGCCGTCAACCCCTCTGAGGTCAAATTCCTTTTAAAGAACCTAAAACCTCGCAAATCTCCAGGACACGATCTCCTTACTTCCCAGATCCTCAGACAACTTCCCAAAAAAGCAATTATATTCCTTACATACCTATTCAACTGTATCCTCCGCACAACCCACTTTCCTCTGGTGTGGAAACACTCCATAATTATCCTCTTTCCTAAATCAGGTAAACCTGTTAATTATACATCATCCTTTAGACCGATAAGCTTACTTCCGATCATTTCCAAATTCTTTGAGAAAATCCTTCTCAAACGCATCCTACCCATACTCGAATCCCACAATATCCCTTTCCATCAGTTTGGATTCCGCTCAAGACACTCCACTGTCCAACAAGGCCTTCGCGTTGTGGACCATATATCCTCTGCACTTGAAAACAAGCAATATTGCACTGGTGCCTTTCTGGACGTAGCTCAAGCTTTCGACCGGGTGTGGCACGATGGCTTGCTTTTCAAGCTCAAAACCCATTTACCTCAACCCTTGTATCTAGTCCTCAAATCCTACCTTTCAAATCGCTCCTTTAAAGTCCGCTGCGGCACTGAACTCTCCAAACATTATCCAATTGAGGCTGGTGTTCCACAAGGCAGTGTCTTGGGCCCAGTTCTCTACATTCTTTTCACCGCTGACATCCCTTCAAGTCCTGATACCTTCCTAGCAACATTTGCTGATGATACTGCCATCCTATTCTCCCACTCAGATCCTCTAATAGCGTCCCGGAACCTGCAAAGACATCTCTCCTTCATTGAGCAGTGGTGCAACAACTGGCGCATCAAAATTAATGAATCAAAATGAAAACATGTAACTTTCAATCTTCGACGCAGATCCTGTCCGCCAATCCTTTTTTATTCAATTCCTCTTCCCTACTCAGACACAGTACGATACCTTGGCTTCCTTCTGGACAAAAGACTGACTTGGAACCCACATACGAGACTTAAAAGACAAGAGCTTAACCGACGATTTGGTCAGCTATATAGACTACTAAACAGAACATCTCATCTCTCAACAGAAAACAAATTATTAATCTACAAGACCATACTGAAACCTATCTGGACCTACAGACTTGAGCTGTGGGGGACAACTAAATCATCGAATATCAAACGCATCCAATCCTTCCAGTCTAAAGTCCTTCGGACAATAGTCAATGCTCCATATTATGTCACGAACAAGACCCTACACCATGACCTTAACATCCCATATGTCCATGACATCATCCCATCCAGATTCTCCAACTTTCACCAGAACCTCATTCATCATCCCAATCCTCTAGCGCAATCCCTATCCAGCTCCGAGCATCCATACCATCCCCCTCGAAGGTTGAAACGGCAGTGGCCTCGAGATCTTTTGTAAATATGCCTTT